AAAACCCCAAAACCCCAAAACCCCAAAACCCCATCTTTCGTAAATTGCTATTAATTTACATAATTATATAAATTTAAAAATCAAAAATGAGACTAATTTAAAAATCAATGGTCGACTTCAACATCAATCACCACTATTAAATAACTTCAGAGACTCAAGAATCCCTTAGAATCGGATCAACCTAATATTTAATTGATCTTGGCAAAGCACTTGACCTGTATTAATCTATATTCTTAAGGATTGCAATATATTTATACACAATATAGAAACAACCAAGTAATCTAGACAGCAGTAGTATATCTACAAATGCTCTATGGAAAGAAATGCTATCTTACTCATGATCGCGAAATTTATCAGAATGCAGCTCTCTACCTAGCTTCTAAAAATTTAAATCACAAGAGAAAAATTTCTGATTTTTGCCTATAGTATCATCGATTAAAATATCTTGGGGCCTTATATAAGCCACCACAAGATTAGTAAATCAAAGAACTTTCGGACTAAATCTGTATAGCTGAGTGCAAATTATTAAAATATGTTGAATACACTATGGATATAGATCTGCCGGGTATGTTTATTGAAAAATTTACCAAACTCCTATTTGAAAAAGAGGGGAACTGGCAAAACATTCTAAAAGTTTCGATGGCTGTAGCAAATGATAGTTTTTACACTGTTATAAATGTGCTATATAGCGCTTAGTCAATAGCATTAGCTTGTATTCTTTATGCAGCTATCAGGTTCAATGTTCCAACACCCTTTGATGATCCTCAATTTAACTTTGATATTTGCCAAGAAAGATATGTCTTCAAAAAAATGATGGCATATCAATAGTAGCAATTAAGTTAAAATTGCCAAGATTCACCAATGATAGATGAAAGTAAGAAGTAATTGATGATTGAATAGCTAAAAGCTGAGTTCAAAAAAATTCCTTGGGAGAAAAAAGTTGATTTAGAATGTGAACTAAATGAAGTTGTTGATTCAGTTAAGCAAATTTAAAACTTTTACAGTAATTTATTAAATGGTAAGCAGCATTGAAAAAGGAGGCTTGATGAAGAAGAAAGAGCTCAGTATAAATATGCTTGATAATTAATTTTTAATTTCAAAAGCAGAATTCCTTTTAATGCAAATTAATAAACTAATGGGGTTTTGGGGTTTTGGGGTTTTGGGGTTTTGGGG